GTGTGTGTGTGTGTGTGTGTGTGTGTGTGTGTGTGTGTGTATTTTAGGATTTAATTCATACCACAAATTGGTTTTTCATTAACTGCAGCTTTATTTTTGGAGAGCAGGGACGTGATGGCAAGTAATGAGTGACAAATTTCTCAGGCTGTGTGTAACCTGAGCTGGCCTGTAAAGCTGGGAAGCAATAACTCCTAACTTTATGAAACCAGCCGCTATCTCCCACAGAGCAGCTCAAATTAATTTGGCTGAGCTTGTAAAAATGTGAGTCCACGAACCAAAATGTCCTCTGACTTTTAGAGCAGACAAAACATTGTTACCTTTATTAAGCGGCGCGAAGGCTTTCGTCTGATGAAACCCAGACTGATAAAAATGCCAGAGCGAGTTGAACAAACATGGGAAATATGAATAAGCGGATCCCCGGTCCACAGAGGGGGAGGCAGTACCTCTGCTGTGTGCACAGAGCTGCTGTTACCTGGGGTTTCCAGTGGAGAGGATGGCTGTGGAGCTCAACAGCTCCTCATACAGATCAGCACCTGACACAGGGAAGGCTGCATGTTGGGCCAGCAGCACTCGGCGGATGGCAAACAGAGCCTGAAATACAGAGATAGAGCAAACGGCACTCAGTCCTGAAGCACAGACCAGCTGGAACCCAGGCATTCATGCATTTAAGACAGTGTTTTTGGATGAAGAAGTTTCTCTATGCTGTGGTCCAAAGGCAAAAGGGGAATGTGAGGTTGCTATGAGGTGTTCAGAGGGATTATTCAAATAAAACCAACATTTTTCACAAGGTCCATTTTCAAAACGTAATACTATGTTTAAAGTTATGTCCCATCTTGAAACAGGCAGCAATAGATTTCCATCAAACAGAGGCCAGTAACAGTAAGATAAGAGGGAAAAGGACTGAATAATATGCCAGACAATGGTATTATTACCTACAGGTTACCTACATTTAGAGGACTTTTTTTGAGCATGTTAAAAGGAGCATTCACTTTCAAACTCTTAGTGAAACTGAATGTTTGACCTGAACTCCTCTACTCTCCAGTGCAGCCTGAAGCCTCTCCAGTAGCTGTGTCCTCTCTGTGAGGAGCCTCCAGCAGCAGCTCTCCAGCTTCTGAAGGACTTCCCAGAGCTCGTCTCTGGAAGCTGCTGCTGCCTTTGGCTCCGTTCTCCGGTTCTGGAGGATCCATCCCTCCATCAGAGCTGCTGGTGTTCAGTCCACTTCATTCATTTTCTGACCCACTGAGGGAACTCTGGAAGGTTCAGTTGCTGTTAAATAACTGACAGGATACATGTAGCTCTGTTTTAGCTTGGTTTTCTTCTTTGTTAGCTTCTTTTGGATTAGTTCTGGGCTTTTTAGCTCCATTTTTGCTTTTTGTCTTGAATTTTTTGTCATTTTTAGCCTTGTTTTAGCTTTTTCTGTGTATTTTGGGTTTTTTTTAGCTCTGTTTTTGCTTTCTTAATGTATTAAATAACTTAGAATGAGGATCCATCCCTCCATCAGAGCTGCTGGGGTTCAGTCCACTTCTGGTTCCTCTGGTAGAGTTCAGCCTTTCCTCCTCTTTCCTTCCTTCAGAGTGGCTTCTTGACAGCCCCCCTTCATGGAGAGCATTTCTGATGAGGCCACCAGGAGAAGATCAACTGGAGGTCCAGATGCAGCTCTCAGCTCCTGTTCAGCTCTCTGCTGGATCTGTTCTACTTTCTGAATCTTCACCTTTTATAGGAAGTTTTTTTTATTTATCACAACTCTTCTTTTGTTCTCCACTTGTACTCAGATTTTTTAGGAAAGCTCACTATGATGAGACATGACAGTTTTTCAACAACTCCAATTGCTAACAGCTCTTTAGCTGTCATCTTGTTGGTGACCACCATTTTACGTCTGACCATCTTAATATATCATAGCTATTGTACAGTTACAACAAAATTGGATCAAATTGTTCTTTTAGATGCCACTTAAATAAGAAAAAAAAAGTGTATTTTTGTCATGATAGATAAAATATTTAAAAAAAAAATATTTTGATAAGTGGACATTAACACTGGTTCATTGTATGGGACACTTAAATGACTCACTGGTCAGTGATGAAAATAAACAAATACTTCACAATACTTAAATTCCTATCTTCAAAAATAATCAGGTACACAGGCTGAATAATTAAGTGAAAAGCAGCAAATGATCAAAATTTAAATTTTACAACTTTCAGAACGTCTGGAAAACTATTACTGAAACCTGATAAACCTGATCATACTGTATTTCTGTTATCTGATATTTTGTAGAAGAACAGTTAACTGGGTTCCTACATCAGTTTTAGGGGACTAGAACTTTTTTCAACAGATGACTGTTGGTCCTTCCTGGTCTCTGGTCTCAGAAATGACAGCGACTCTTTCCGTTTAATCCCAGCTGTACATCTGGTTAACCTCAATGCTGCATAATTATCGTCACATACACAGTCACAGGCGTCCACAAACATGTTAGCAGTCTCAACACCCCCACCCCCCCCCACTTCTGAGGAAAACACATCACAGTCCAGTTTGGCACACAACCACAGCAACAGGAGGAAATGACAGTGAGACGGGGGGATAATTAGAAGGCTGTAGATCGATATTACCCCCTTTTTCAGCCTGATCCTGGCACAGGCAGAGGCCCAGCACAGCCCGGCCCGGCCCAGCCCAACCCGGCCAAGCCCCACCAGCACACGGCACTTGTTAGTCAACCATGTGGAGTGTGCAGCTGTGTTACTGCCAAGGACTCTTAACCATTTCACGCTGGAACTTTTGCCAGAGCAACAACTTGTTTGCATCCTATCAGCTGGAGTCGTACAGAGCCTTATGTTCCCATGGCCATTTAATACGCCACCCAAACGCATGCCAGCAAATGAGAGGATAAAAAAAAAAGAGCTGAACACCAAATCACACGCTTCAAGCGCTCTCATTAATTAGGCAGAGAATCTGACACGCCTCGGCCCACACTGAGGGCAAAGCCTGCACGCTGACGGCTGAGAGGGGCTCACCTGACAGCCTTTAGCAGCAGCTTATCCATCAGCTACCGCCGTCTCCATTTCTACAAGGGAAACCATTCTTTAAAATCCAGGTCTTTTTCTCATGTATGTACTAACCCATCTGAAATTATGTTTCTTTCAATTTCTGCTGAATGTTTAATGTCGAATGATTAACAATAGTCTTAATAATAGTAACATAATAATAATAGAATAACAATAGAATAAAAATATTCATCCCTGAGACAAACTTCCAATATGACTAGAGTTGGCCGGCCAGCAACACCTTTAAATCGAACAAAGCACAGTAGTTCAGATGATATTATTACTGGGAGAGGTTGTATGCAGTGAAAATAATCTGTTTAAGTTTCCATAGGGGCACAAGGATTGTCTAATGTGGTTAGTAAGAGAGAGGGTGCATCTCCCTATCCTGCACACTGGGATGGAAGCCCCCTTTGCTGCCTGCGCCTGCCTCTGTTGGCTATCTCCAGTTTACCTGTGGGGCAAAAAAAGCTACTGGGATAGAAACAGGAGAGGACACAGAGAGTCATCCTTAAACTGGAGAGATGGAGGACCAGCGTCAAACAGCTCCAGACTGAGCTGGTTTGTGGACGTTATCTCATTCTGACCGGAGGGGGGGGGGGATACTCTAATGTTCATACTTAAAGTTAAAAGGGAATCGCTTTGCAAAGGTTTGGTAATTCCTTTAATTTTCCCAGGCCCAATTGTTAAACTAATAATTACACTTCCAATATCATTCAGATACGAGTCATTATCCAGATTATTGGCTGTAGATAATAGTAAAGCCTGCTACAAAATTGTATCTAGTCAATAAAACCAAATTAAGTTACAGAGGACAGTAATCTTTTGCATGTTTCCCTTTCTTCTTCTTCACATGATTTAAGAGTCTCCTTCCAAGGTGTGTATACAAACATGTACAGAAGGATGCACGTGGAGGGGGACCCAGCAGTATCACGATTCCTGGTGTTCAGATTAATTTAATTACCACAGTCCCATGAAGCATGGCATCAAATGCACATTAGGGCTACGGTGAGTGAACATCCACCAACTAAAAAACAGGATTTCTTTAGTGCTCAGACGCTAAATAAATGAGGGCTTCCCCGTCTGCCCAAACCTCTATCTGGTTTTTGTTTTCCTAGACTGAGTTTAACAACTGTTCCCTCAAAGGGACATTCTACCAGTGCTAACCAGACTTTTAGGATCGGAACCGTAGTTTTTGCCCATTCCTTGCTGTCAGCCTTTGTATCAGCCCCCCCCCCTTGTCTCTGGGGAAACCCCAGTGGGTGTCCACACTGGTCAAACTCCAGCTCCATCGGCATCCTCCCACTGGGCCTTGGGATTTCTGTCTAAAATAAATGTGCTTCTGACTGTAAAAAGGAATTGGAATTAGCTTGTTTGAGTCCATTTTGAGTGTTATCTGACAACACAGATTGCGTCCCACTGGATCCTAAAACCCGGTATCAAAAGGAGAGCCGGAGGACTCCCGTTCTGATGAGGCTGCCCCTCCCAGCAGGGGGCATTTCTCGTTAGAACTCAAGTCCAAACGCTGATATCTATTTAAGTTCTGTTGGGTGCCAATTAGTGGGAAGGCCTCAGCTGGTTCTGGTGGCTTTTAAGATGGTGATGCTTTGCCAGTAAACTATGCATTCAACAGCTGGAATGGAACCTGCAGGAGGCTTCTGTCAGACTGTGTTCTTTGTGTGCAAAACAAAGGTCTGGATCAGCAGCAGGGCCTTGATGGACCACAGGAATGTTGCTTATAACGTACATTTGTTGTACATTTGGTGCCTGCAGGCTGAATTTACTGAACAGAAATTCTGGCTCAGCCACTGGGAGGAACCTAAACCTGCTGCAGGCAATCATGGAAAACAGAATCATGTTTCAAAGAACACAACAATCCCGTGGGCAAAACTCTTTCATGTTCTCATCTATTCCCAATGTATTTTGGACACTGTTGCTTCTTTTGGAAGCTCAACTTTCACTGTGCACAACATGTCAGTTCACATACTAAAAGGATGCTCTAGGATTATTCTTCTGGCATATTAGATCCTTAATATATTAAGACTTTCAATATTTTCTGAGCTTGAGGTTGCAAATAAAAGCTGAGGTGGAACGTGCAGACAGGCAGAGCAGAGGGACGTTCCAGCGTCCACACACTCTTCACTCATACACTGCTATCGATGAGGCTTCTCTGGGTCTCCTCCATGAGAGTTTGCACTCCTATTTTTCGAAAAGGTTTGATGAATAAACTATAATCAAAGATTTTCTTTGATTATTTTTCTTTTTTTGCTCATGCACTCATGTTGGTCCACACTGATAAGAGAGGACGTTCTGGGAAAAGAGAGGAGCATCTTAAAGCCTCCCTTTTATTCATTATGCATCTGATGCCATATCTGAATGATTATTTCCACTTCTAACAAGGTCTGTGTCTAAATATTACTGCTGCTCCAACACAAAGAGAACCGTTAGAAATATTTCATTTGATGCTCAATGGTTTACACAACATTATAATGTCCAATTCAGTGTTCTGTTCTTGCTAATTATGTCACGATTATGACATCAACCTGATAAAAGATTATTAGAAAAAGAGCCCCTTATCGGCATTCAACACTTAACCACATAAAATGTAATTATCTAGGCCTTAAAGCTTTAGCAATAAAAAGCCCTACTTCCACTCTACAAATAAATACATACAGTGGGGGAAATAAGTATTTGACCCCTTGCTGATTTTGCAGGTTTGCTCACTTACAAAGAATGCAACGATTTATAACTTTAATCATATATACATTCTAACAGTGAGAGACAATATCCCAAAGAAAATTACAGAAATTCACATCATATGAATTTATAAAAATTGACAACCATCTGATGATGAAAAATAAGCATTCTTTGTAAGTGGGCAAACCTTCTTTCCCCCACTGTATACATACACACATACTGTACACCCACTTCTGCATCCATGAGCTCTGAGGGGATGGGGAGAAACACCTGAGGAGCTAAACACCAGCTACATACAGACAGAAATGCCAATTAAAACTGTAAGACCCAAAATGTGTGCACTGCCTAACGAGAAGCCTACAACTAAATACTGCACACACAAAAGCTGGAATGCCTGGAAGAGGACAACAAGAGGGAAGACAACCATGCAGCCAATTCAAAGCCGACTGCACAAGTCACCATCAGGTGGCTTTTACCGGGGCAGGGGACTCACTAAAGACCCCACATTACCCTCAGGCTGGAGAAAGGGCTGACACCGAGGGCCTCCCAATGGCTGAAGCACATTTCAGACCAGCCCCGGGGCTCTGTCCTGCTGCCCGGCTGGCTGCGTACAGCCACATGGAGGCAGGACGTCAGGTCTGTTTCATGCCAACATGAAGGAGGCCTACAGGCCAGCGTCTCCTCCACCAGGCAGATCTTATCCCAACATCCATCTCCAGCCCACAAACACACCTCCCTGCTGCCACCAGATCTGTCAGGAAGGGTTCACCGGAGGCATAAGATCCAGGGGGGGACCACTGTGGTGTCCCAGAGTGGGCTGTGCTGCTGGAGGATGAGCACATGGATCTGGATATGGACAACACCGTCAGCTTTTGGAGGCACACGGTTATCCCAATGAGGACTGTGAGGCTTAGGGTTGGACCCTCTGTGCATGGTGGAGCAGCAGAAGAGGAGGAGGAAGTTCTTTTCTGTTTTAGAGAACAATCAGCATCTCCTGCACATCTCATGGTGGGCAGGACAAAATGGTTCAGGGGGGGATTTCCTCCAGAGGCCGTAAGGCTTTTTAACATTGACAACTAACAGTGCTTTACCGATGATGAATGTATATCTTTTTTTTATTATCTAATTATTGCCTCATTTTAAATTATTAACTTGACTATATACATGTCATTCTGTCAGTGATGAGCATGAAGGCGTGTCATTGGTACCTTATAGGACACGGAGCATTTCTGAGCAAGTTCCTCGATGTCTGATGAAACCAGGCCTTCCACTGTAAAAAAAAAGTAAAAAAGAAAACATTAAGCCTTTGTTGGTCTTACTTGTTTCAGACCCAGAGAACCCAGAGGAACCCGCGCCCACGCAGGCTGACCTGTGCGGATGTCCGCCCCCCGCAGGCCGCGGAGCAGCTCCCTGTCCAGCCCGGGACACATGCCCTCTCGTAGGAGTACCATCGTTTCGCATTGCTAACTCCTCATTAAAACATTCAAATAAATGGCTCAACGTCCCAAAAAGTTAACCCTGACACTTTTACAGACGCCTCTGGCCACTTTCGTCTTTAGCTCTGCGGCTAGCTGACAAACTTTTCTGCCTGTCCGACCGGTGAGCACGTTCTGGGAGCGAGTCGGCCCTTTTCTCAAGTTATCGTGTAAAACGTTTTTTTAGGAGCTAAGTGAAAACCTTCAAGCAACGTTATGTTATTCAGATTTGATTCCCGCGTTTAATCAAAGAAAAAGAAACACACACTAGTTGGTGGCAAATACGAATAAACCTTGTTGCTTTCCGTAGCAACACATTTACCGCAATTCCTTTTGGGTAATGTAGTACACCCGCTGCAGGAGCACATGTACCTGGTCATTTTTCTTGATTTTCTCTCTACTGGCACTGCCTTGATCTGGCAATCAACCTCGGATGCCTAAATTCACAATAAAAATGGAAATATTTCCTATAATTTAAAAATATCATTGTAAATACATGAATAATAACAATGACCATAATATTTTTTTGTAAACCCCTCTAAAATATTTGGTCATATTATAGGATACCAAATAAATACCAAAAAGATGAAGATGTATGGTTGAAATACACTCAGATATCCAAAGCTCTCACTTAATAAATAATTATGTAATTCTATTTATTCATTAAACCACATCAAATTAATCAGCTTGTGACTTAGAAAGCCATATGACCTCATTTAATTTGAAGTGTCTCAACTTTGTGCATATCTGTGCAGATGTGCATCATGCCTGAAAAAACAGTGACTATAATTCCATTCAGTTTAAAAACAAGTGAACCTCAAGCTCAACATATCTGTTACAGTACTTCCTTTTTTACTGTCTTACAAATCTAATCAGTAAAACTGCTGTTTCCACAGAGTCAGCACCAGGAGAGGATAAGCTTGCTGTTCAGAAACATGGTCTTCTATCCGCAGTCACTTTGGCACTCAGTTATTGAACCTTCAATAAATAGTTTCTTTTTTTCAGTTGAACTAAAATCCTTTTCTTGTTATTTCACATATAGATGACTTGGTTCGGTTTTCACTTTTTCAAATTAAATTAGATTAACGCATGAAAGACAAATGGGATATATTTGATCTGATGGCCTGTGTGAGGATGTTGTAGGTCTTTCAAGGCACAAAGAAAATCTTCTAATATCAGTTAGAATCCCCATGGCATTCTACCCAAACTGATTACATTAAAGCTGAAGAGTAAGTTAAAGAATAAAGAATAAAAAAAAAATAAAAAGTGACATTATGTTAAAAATTTAAATGTGGATGTTTGTATAAGTAATTACATTTTTATTTGGGAACCTTTTACCTGGGGCTATAAAGTCTTGTAGCTTTTTTACCTTCCATTGATCAAAAAGGCTTTCGTTGAATATATAACTAAATGTTTTCTCAATATTCATATGAATAATTTGTGGTTATTCTCAGTATTGTATTTCAACAAGTCTTCTTTAACTACATTCTAGAGTAGCTCACAAACTGTACTCACATTGACATTCAATCCAAATGGTTTAATGATCCCTATAAAGCTTTTGTGAAGCAAAACTAGGGGAGTTTTTATCAACAACAGGAGGGAATTCACTGTGATACACTATTGCTTTCCTAACTGACACCAACTACTTTCCATTTGACCTCTTTTAATTTCATGCAAATAAATTAATTTGTTAGGCAGCCATTACTAAATACAGCAACATCATGGCAAAGCTCAATCCAAGACTTTCAGATTGTACTGGCTGCACATAAAAATCCAGGTGGTAAAGGTTAGGGTTCAGGCAGGTAAGATCAGGACTGCAATCCAGTCAGTTAACAAAACAACAAAAATACAAACAGCAGTTTTAAACTCTTGCCTTGATTGATATGGAACACCAGTCGCACACCAAAACCTCATGCTTTATTTAGAATAAGTTTTATTTAAAGATCGAGTGTGTGTGTGACGCAACTAACAAATGTATTTTCGAGAAGCAGACTCGATGAGGGATATGGTTCTGTCCTCTGTTGAGTCCTTCAGCTGTCAGTCCCTATTCTGAGCACCCAAAAAGCAAAAGCCACAGTCACCAAGCAATCCAATTTTTCCACCTTTTTGTGAGTTCATGTGAAATATCTTCCGGTATGTGTTACTCTTTCATAACTGTCATTGTGCCATCTCTCTCTCTCTCTCACCATGTCTCCCTGCCTCAAGCTCTTGATGTTTCTGCTTGGCATTAATGTATTTACAATAGACAAAATTACATTTAGTAATGTACAGTATCAGCATATGACTTACAAAAGTATCTGCTTATAACATAATGTAACCCCTACAGTAAAATGTTTCATTAATTTATTTACACCTCGCCTCAAGGCTTATGCCTTCGTCTCTATTCCCGTGTCCATTGTGCTCCTGCATTGCTGATCCTTAACATACAAAACGGCCTCAGACAAGCATGTCAAACGTACAGCTCCTGACCAGAAAGGTGGCTAATTCCAAAACTAAATGGGGAAAAGAAATCCACTTGTTGGTCACTGTGGAGTAGCATTTCAACATATAGTGTGGCGTTGCAGTGTAGTTAATCACAACTTAACCCTTGTACAACTGTGGAAATTATTATTGAAAATGAACTTGAAATGTCTCCTAATCTCATCACTTTTCTGGATCTATAATCAATAATAGTATTTTAAACCTCACCTATTGGTTCTTGTAAGGCCCCTCTTGCATCCCAGCATGCATCTGGTCTGTCCCTCTTGAGACCAGATTTACATTTTTATCACGTACAAACAGAAAGAAGGAATTTTAAAACCGTACACAAAACACAGAATGACAAGTTCCTGAGTCACAGGTAGACTTATACCAAAGAAAAAGCCTTCTGCTCAGAAGGGTTTGACCAATTCCTCACTTTTTCTGTAATTCGTGGATCTGGCTGGGGTCCCTTGCTATAGATAACATTACAAGAAAAACAACATGATCTCTAGCCAAGTGGTATTTCTTGGGGTTTAGTTTAAGTCCTGCATTCATGTATTCTGGTTCAGACCTCCTCCAGATGGAGTAAAGGGCCTTCAAATATGCAACTGTAAATGAATATGTAGTCTTTATATACCATAAAGATGCGCCAGGGCAATCCTCACAGAATCAGCTCCATCATGCAAAAAGTGGCATGAAAATTAGTCAGGTCCATTGGCATGGGGACCCACTACTGCAGGCCTCTGAATGCCATCATCTCCCTGCACCAGTATCCATTTGAACCATGATGAACCAGCAAGCATTTCCAGAATATCGTCATCCCGTGGCAGCGAATGCGAGTCCTTTATTTATGAGCACCATTAGACACACTCTCCTCCACAAGCCCAAAGGCCAATTTGCTAGCCACCTGCCACTCTGTCTCCTCTTGCTTCTCTGGAAATAGCCAGTACCCACACTGCCTGATAGGGGCGTGCACTTGCTGGTGTTCCCTTCTGATAGGCCAAAAAACCCCTGGAAACTCCCAAGAAGAGCAGACAGTTCATCTCTCTGAAGCTCCGTGACTGGAGAGGAAAAGCAAAGAGTATAGGCAGGATCCAGACCAGCGAGGATGTGTCGGAACTTCTCCTCCCCACGTCCGACATCAGCCGCAGAAACCTCCAAGTTCTGACCCGGAGCACATGAGCAGGCCAACCAGCTTGCTCTGAAGTGGTCCACGAACCATCTCTGTCCAAACACTGCTTTCAATCGCTCTTTAACAACCTCATAATCTGACTTCACACTGCTCTGGGAAGCTATCCCAAAGCAGAAATGGAGCTTTGCATAAATGGGTCATAAGAGCCCTTGCCAGCTTGCTGTGGCAGTCTCCATCGTGTTCGACCACTGCCCTAAGGGCGTCTTCCAGTTGCTTCACCCAGCTGAGGGAACTGTGGCTCCTTTCACCAGAAAATGGAGCGGGGGATCACTCGAGTGTCCCATGAGAAATAGGACTTGCCAAAATGAGAGCAGCTGAACTTCAGCGAGTTCCCATCTACAAACCATAGAGTTGCAATGACCCATGAAACCCAGAAAATCACTACGGTCTAGTCAAGGTTGTGACATACAACAGCACCACTGCCATCAATGAACCGAGCATTCAGGGTTCAGCAAGCGGGAATGCATAACTACATACTGACTAAAACCTGTTGGACCACGGTGTTGGATTGTGTATTAGGCGTTTACAACATTGATGAAGACAGAAGTAATGGAATTGAATGTGTGTTTCTGGGGTTTTGAATTGGTCAGGATTCCTGGTCAATCAATTCCCAGCAATCTGCTGTAGCTCCTACTTAAAAAGAACTAAAAGAACAAACTTGCAGAAATGAACATGAAGAATTGTACAATACAACAAAGTAAAGTTATGCTTTGTGTGCAAGCCCTTTGACAAATCCAAACTAATTACATTCCAACTATGAGAAACTACAGTACCTGCTACAGCTGTGATAACATATGCCAGCATATAAATGTAAATATCATCAAATTAAGAAAAAGATCTGTGTCTGTATAATTTGCAGCAAAGAAGTGAAGATTCAATTCTAGCATAACAATTAAAGACAAATACAGTATGATGTTATACAATTTTGGTTTGGGAAGTAAAAATATTAGCTTCGTTATGGTGAGCATTTTAAGTTTTTGCTCTTCCTTGGAAGTTTATTCTTCTATTTTATGTGTTTCCATCCATCTTTTTATATCTTCAAAAAAATTGCCCAGTGGTACATCAAAACATTTTTTTTTTACTGAGAAAAGATACCACCATAAAAAATATATCTACATATCACTTGCAACTATAACCCCTTTTTCCTGGTCAGCAGAGTGATGTGAACTGTCCACAAAAACAGTCCACACCAGAAGGCCGATAATTAGCTGAATAAAAGGCTGAAACACAGAACCTGCTTCCTTATGTGGCTGCAGTGTCTTTTGTTCTTTCCAAGTCACCTGCCCAGTGCAGGAAATCCAACAGCAAAGAGTTACTATTTAAT